TATTCAAACTGCACCACGACGGTGACACTAGAGAATCGAACCCGGGCTTCTGGCGTGACAACTGGCCTACCCCAAATGCCCCTAATACCGAACTTTGGAGTGTCAGTAATAGAGAGATGTATTTGAAAGACTTAAACAGATGGGCAAAAGTGATAGTGGCTAAAAGGAAACAGACCGGTGATTCGCTTGTGTTAATTATTCGTGAATGTTTCAATTTAGGCGTATTTGAAATACAACTTCTAATTTACTTTAGCAATTATTCAATTTTAAATTTACCCGAGTTATATAGCGATAAAGCCAGATGTACCAAAAATGAATTGAACAGATGTGAATTTGCTTGCATTTGTCTAATGCCGTCACCTCTGACACAGACACCATGTTTGGAAACCGAGGTGGTGGTGTATCTCGGGGCGTGATATTGCGAATATATCCTCATATTGAATATATGTATCCTATATCAGGGACGTCATTTTGCGTATATATCGTTTATCTGGGACGTCATATTACCTCTGTATTCTTTATTTTGAACGAGATATTGCCTCTATATTGTTCTCAAGAACGTCATATCACATATATATCATTTATCAAGGACGTCATTCTGCGTATATGTCCCTTTTACCCATCGGAAATGTTCTGGATACATGTATATTACGAACATCGTGGGTCAATACCTCTTGTCGGCCAAACGCAAGAAACCATTTCTGTATATGAACATGACACAAATAGAGATCTCGACCTACAAGGTTTCACGTGACAGATGTATGAATTGTGGAAACTAGGGAGGTCGTTTTGAAAGGTTAAATTATAACTTGGGCCATATCTACACAGCCTGGGTGGGGTGTTACACCTGATAGGTGGGGCTATATCTACACAGCCTGGAAGGGGTGTTACGCCTGATAGTTGGGGCTATATCTACACAGCCTTGGTGGGGTGTTACTCCTGATAGTTGGGGCTATATCTACACAGCCTTGGTGGGGTGTTACACCTGATAGTTGGGGCCATATCTACACAGCCTGGGTGGGGTGTTACGCCTGATAGGTGGGACTATATCTAAACAGCCTGGGTGGGGTGTTACGCCTGATATGTGGGACTATATCTACACAGCCTTGGTGGGGTGTTACGCCTGATAGTTGGGGCTATATCTACACAGCCTGGAAGGGGTGTTACTCCTGATAGTTGGGGCTATATCTACACAGCCTGGGTGTGGTGTTACGCCTGATAGTTGGGGCTATATCTACACAGCCTGGGTAGGGTGTTACGCCTGATAGGTGGGACTATATCTACACAGCCTGGGTGTGGTGTTACGCCTGATAGTTGGGGCTATATCTACACAGCCTTGGTGGGGTATTACGCCTGATAGTTGGGGCTATATCTACACAGCCTGGGTGTGGTGTTACGCCTGATAGCTGGGGCTATATCTACACAGCCTTGGTGGGGTGTTACGCCTGATAGTTGGGGCTATATCTACACAGCCTGGAAGGGGTGTTACTCCTGATAGTTGGGGCTATATCTACACAGCCTTGGTGGGGTGTTACACCTGATAGTTGGGGCTATATCTACACAGCCTGGGTGGGGTATTACGCCTGATAGTTGGGGCTATATCTACACAGCCTTGGTGGGGTATTACGCCTGATAGGTGGGACTATATCTACACAGCCTGGGTGTGGTGTTACGCCTGATAGTTGGGGCTATATCTACACAGCCTTGGTGGGGTGTTACGCCTGATAGTTGGGGCTATATCTACACAGCCTGGGTGTGGTGTTACGCCTGATAGCTGGGGCTATATCTACACAGCCTTGGTGGGGTGTTACGCCTGATAGTTGGGGCTATATCTACACAGCCTGGAAGGGGTGTTACTCCTGATAGTTGGGGCTATATCTACACAGCCTTGGTGGGGTGTTACACCTGATAGTTGGGGCTATATCTACACAGCCTTGGTGGGGTGTTACACCTGATAGTTGGGGCTATATCTACACAGCCTGGGTAGGGTGTTACACCTGATACTTGGGGCCATATCTACACAGCCTGGGTGGGGTGTTACGCCTGATAGTTGGGGCTATATCTACACAGCCTGGGTGGGGTGTTACACCTGATAGTTGGGGCTATATCTACACAGCCTGGGTAGGGTGTTACACCTGATAGTTGGGGCTATATCTACACAGCCTGGGTAGGGTGTTACACCTGATAGTTGGGGCTATATCTACACAGCCTTGGTGGGGTGTCACACCTGATTTCCTTCATGTCACGTTGCTACCCAGGGAACTGCTTCAAACTATTTTATTACTTGAAGACATTTCCGTTGCGCTCACTTGATATCTGTGGGATTATCCGGTTTCTCTTTCGTTTGTTCCCGCACATGCGAAAGACACGAGTAGATTCAATGATTAGACGTGGACTAATCGACTCCCGTCTTTTTAACAAGCCACCTATTACACAGGGGCTGTTGGGTAGCCTTGTTGTGTCGCCTCGAAGACCCGGTTCGATTTCCCATATGGATACACTGGAAACATCCCATGATTCCGGTATCCACCGTCGTGCTATTGCTGGAATAGTGCTAAAAGCACGTTGTCACCTTCTCACTCACCTATACAGAGCAATTATTACAGAGTAGAAGTGGTTTTGTGTGGTTACATCTGATTGGTGGGTTAAGATATGCGTGCTCATCTTAGCGATATCATGTTTTTTTTATCAGTGTTGTATTATTGCTTCCTCGGCATTAAGGGGCTAAAACAAGGACTGGTCGGCTCGGAGTCAGTACACTGTGTCTGAGTGAGGTATTCGTGTTAAACTGTGGCATGGTGGGCTAGCACTATAAAATCGGCATTAGTACGGACTAGTACAAACGGCCACACACACATACACGTGCATACACGTCGCTATATAAATGCAATAATCTTGGACGCAACGTGAAACCCCATTTAACCCCACTTCCTAAAGTCACGCCTCATGTATTGATGCACACGGGCTTCGTGGATCTGTAGTCAAAGGGAGGTAATTCAATTCGTACAGTTGATCCTTAATTTGATGAATGTGTTTGGTCGAGTGATATATGTCAGCCTGTTCCCGGAGCGTTTTAAAACAGTGATACGTACATGCACACATTTACACAGCACATACACGTGTTAATAATCCAGTTCATTACCTTGTGTGATGACAGTTTCACCAATAGATGTTCTCCTTATCATCAGCTACACTTGCTTCATCATCAGCTACACGTGCTTCACCATCAGCTAAACCTGCTTCACCATCAGCTAAACCTGCTTCACCATCAGATAAAGCTGCTTCACCATCAGCTACGCCTATTTCACTATCAGATACATCTGCTTCACCATCAGCTACAACTGTTTCACCATCAGCTACGTCTGCTTCACCATCAGATAAACCTGCTGCACAATCAGCTACAACTGCTTCACCATCAGCTACGCCTGTTTCACTATCAGATACATCTGCTTCACCATCAGCTAAACCTGCTGCACAATCAGCTACAACTGTTTCACCATCAGCTACGTCTGCTTCACCATCAGATAAACCTGCTGCACAATCAGCTACAACTGCTTCACCATCAGCTACGCCTGTTTCACTATCAGATACATCTGCTTCACCATCAGCTAAACCTGCTTCGCCATCAGCTACACCTGCTTCACCATCAGATACACCTGCTGCACAATCAGCTACAACTGCTTCACCATCAGATACACCTGCTTCACCATCAGCTACGCCTGTTTCACTATCAGATACATCTGCTTCACCATCAGCTAAACCTGCTTCGCCATCAGCTACACCTGCTTCACCATCAGATACACCTGCTGCACAATCAGCTACAACTGTTTCACCATCAGCTACAACTGCCTCACCATCAGCTACACCTGCTCCACCATCAGCTACACCTGCTTCACAATCAGATATATCTGGTTCACCATCAACTACGCCTGCTTCACCATCAGATACACCTGCTGCACAATCAGCTTCAACTGTTTCACCATCTGATACACCTGCTTTACCGTTAGCTAAACCTGTTTCGCCATCAGCTACAGCTGCCTCACCATCAGCTACACTTGCTTCACCATCAGAAACACCTGCTTCACCATCAGCTACAGTTGCTTCACCATCAGATACACCTGTTTCACCATCAGCTACACCTGCTTCACCATCGGATACACCTGCTTCACCGTCAGCTACACCTCTTCACCATCAGCTACAGCTGCCTCACCATCAGCTACACTTGCTTCACCATCAGATACAGTTGCTTAACCATCAGATACACCTGCTTCACCATCAGCTACAGCTGCTTCACCATCAACAACACCTGCTGCATCATTGGGAGGGGGCACGGGTGGCCCAGTCGTCTAAGGCGCTACAATTCGCTGTGCAGAGTTGCGTCCCTTGGGTTCACCAGAAAACTATGATTGTGGGTTCGAATCCCGGTTCACCCCGATTATGTTTCTAGGTTTGTCAGCACCATACCCGTGCTCGTGGGTTTCACCAATGTGATAAACGTCTAAGACCTGCATCACCATCATAATATCATATTATATGGATACTTGTACTACTAAAGTGTTACGTACTGTGCTCTGATGGGTGGCGACAAGGGATGTAACCGCCTCTGTGGTTTGTTGGATACAGCGTCCGCCCGGACAGCGGAAGGTCCGGGGTTCGATACCCTGGCCGCGTCATACCAAAAGACGTTAAAAGATGGTACTTGTTTTTACAAGCGTGGCGCCATGCATTTCAAGGAGATAAAACAAAGACTGGTCGACTCGGAGACAGTATACTGTGTCTGAATGCGGTATCCATGTTAAACTGCTGCATGGTATCTCAGTGGGCTAGCAGTTTATAACAGTTATAATTATTGGGGACTAGCACAAGCAGAAACAATCACATACGTGCATGCACGTCGTGGCAAGTGCAATAATCATTTTATTGCACTTCAAAGAACGATTTTTTTAAGCGGTGTAAGGGAAGCAACTCTGCGAACGAAAACGGAAGTCAGTAAAGTCACGTGATACAACAAGTAAACATGGATGCAACTCCAAAGGCCAAGTTTGATGCTGCTGTCAAAGTTATACGATCATTGCCGAAAAATGGTAAGCAAAAAAAAGGTTTGCGCTGTCGTGAATGATAAAGAACGACATTTGCATTGCTAGTGCTTCTCGACAAAACGTTTGGTGAACCCGGTGTGTGGTAGTTTTAGCATGTCGGACAATCTCAAGTCACAAGTGACAATGTTATGCCCCATCTCGGTGTGTAAGATTAGATTATCAAAGCATGCTATCTTTACCTATGGTTGACATACTTGATGATGCACATTCTAAGACAACTCGAACATTTGATGCATTAGTAGCCAGCTTGTGTCAGCTGATATTATATGTCTGAATCTTTCGTATCCATACAGTTAAAAAAACTGGTCAGAACAAGAAGCGACTAGATTAGTAGATAATGTCAAACTGGCGGAACGTTTTAATCGATTTCCATTATACCCCAAAGAGAGGGAATCAAAACAGTGAAATTGAACTTTCCAGTCAACTAACTGTACCCGTTATATACAGCACATGACACATGATCCTGGGCATCTTATGCAAATTGCAATGTTTTATGTTATCTTGAGAAACACTTTCATTATAATCAGTAAGAATATGTTTATCCATATTGTATCTACTATGGCAGTCTGTGACTTCTGACACTAGTCCAAAGCCCAAGTCTAGTAAAATTTGTATCTGGTGAAGGAAGATCCATATACTAAGACAAAAATCCAAACTAAAAGTCATGTGTTAAATGTCTCCTGTTGTAACACAAGGTGAAATGCAGAGAGACAGAGGGAGCGATATTACAGCTATTTGGCAGTGGTCTGTAAATAATCAAGTCTGGACCAGGCAATCGAGTGATTGATATCATGAGCATCGATCCACACAATTGGGATACGATGACATGCATCAACCAAGTCAGCGAGCCTGACCACCCGATCCCGTTAGTGACTTCTTAGGACAAGGTGAGGTGAAATGGGGTTTAACGTCGCGTCCAAGATTATTGCACTTATATAGCGACGTGCATGCACGTGTATGTGTGTGTGTGTGTGTGTGTGTGTGGCTGCTTGTACTTGTCTTGACTGATGCCGATTTATAGTGCTAGCCCACTGAGATACCATGCCGCAGTTTAACATGAATACCCCACTCAGACACAGTATACTGACTGCGAGCCGACCAGTCCTTGATTTATCCCCTTAATGCCGAGCGCCAGACAGGGTAACAACAAGTAACATCTTTTGTTATGACGCGGCTGGGGATCGAACCCTGGACCTTCCGCTCCCCGGGCAGACGCTCTACCATTAGACCACGGAGGTAGTCCTTAGGACAAGCATCGGATACTGAAGACTATGCATTGATACATATACACATCGAATACATACGCTGATATACACCGACTTGTCATCACATGCATACATCATGTACATGATGTACATTCAACGAAATATTTTTTTAGAAATATATTTGTTTTTCATTGTCCCCTATTCTGTTATCTTAGGTTCTTTCCAACCTTCCCATGAGATGATGCTGAGATTTTATGGCTTCTACAAGCAAGCCACAGAAGGCCCATGCACTGATGTCAAGCCAAGCTTCTGGGATCTTGTCAAGAAGGCAAAATGGTTAGTATATACATGACATATATTTTGCGACCTGTGAAGATTCCAGGGTAGAATAGGTCTTCAGCAACCCATGCTTGCCATTAAAGGTGACTATGCTTGTCGTAAAAGGCGACTAACGGGATCGGGTGGTCAGGCTCGCTGACTTGGTTGATGCATGTCATCGATCCCAATTGCGTGGATCGATACTCATGATATTAATCACTGGATTGTCTGGTCCAGACTCGATTGTTTACAGGCGCCGTCATATAGCTGGAATATTGCTGAGGGTGGCGTTAAACAACAAACCAAACCAAACCAAAAAAAACCATATATTTTGCAGGGCTCCAGATAATTGGTTCAGTCATTGAGTGTTTACTCAAAATTATCATTCATATCTGGTATTGACAGTTTTGGGTATTCAACGTGTTCAATATCTTTTTACTCCACTGGTTCCAGTCTAGTGGTTTTTTTACACAAATGAGTAGACATTATTTAACATTAGAGTCATACCTTGTTGTGTCGAACTCGTGGGAGTCTAGAAAATAGTTTGAGTTATCCGGGATTCGAGACAACCAACTAAGTGAATTTTTGAATTTTTTAGATTATTAGGTCCAGACACAACAATAGATTTTAAAGCAAATGTAAATTTCAGTGCAAAGGCTGGTTGTGATGGGGGCAGCGACTCCGATGCATCATAAACACTGTCCCCATCTAGATTGAAAGTCATATTTTGAATACACTGTAATAGATTTCACTCGCATAATGTTAACCTGTTTTACTCTCAGTTTTCACATGTCATGGGGACTCACGTGAGAACACTTAAGTAACTTGCTGCCTATGTATATACAGTGATCAGCTTGGACCATTGATGTGGAGTGTCAATTGCAGCGAGGTCAGTTACTGTATTCGACATAATAAGCGCCCAGGGCGCTCTCAAAATTAGAAATAGGGGTCTCTTACTAGTCTTAGTCTTATTAGAATATTATTTTTGGTGAAAAAAGTTGAAAGATAAATTTCATGGTTTATGATGACAGCCTGAAATGTTTATGTACGACAGATATATTTATCCAGAATTTATTTGCCCATAGTAAAGGGCGCATATAACACAGGAGTGTGTATTATACGCGAATAAATAAGTCTTGGGTACATTGACCAATCGGAAGGGGTGCTAGTTGGGATTGTTCACTAGCCAATATATATTAGCAAATGTCGCCGTGGACGCTTATTAGAGCGGGGCACTTATTAAGTTGAATACAGTAATTGTGTGAGAAGTGAGTTGAACATGTTGAAAGGGGAAAGTTTGGTGAATGTAGGGGTGTGGACGTTATTTTGAACTGTTCGAGTCATCAGGGGAATTTTAACTTTATTTGGATACTTGGGACTCCTGAATGAGTTCGAGACATCCGGGAATTCAACACATCCAGTTCGACGGATCCAAGTATAAATGATGATAGATATAGTAAATATAGTTCTGACTTTTAATTTGTATAATTTGTTTGTGTGTTGTCCCAAGTGTGTGACATGTCACATAAACTCACAACAGTGATATACATGTTAAAGTAACCATGGTAACAATAAGCCATACGAACACCTTTTCTATGCATTATTCACTGCAGTAGGATTCATGTATGTGTGGTGCCTGCATTTGATCAGTAATAAGAGATCTGTAAAGAAATATTAGTACGCAAGTTAAAAGGGATACACTGTATAATTATGCGGAGTGTTAGTTTTACCATGTTTACTATTGGTTTCTTAATATATGTATTTGTATGTAAGAGACTTAAACGCAGCTTATCTGGACCTCTGATTTTGGAGTTCAGTATTGATTTGTTTTGATCATGTTGATGAGGTTACCAAGTTAACCAGCTGGTGGAGCCATGGCAAATGTACTCTTCACTTTTCACTTATCTTACAATATTAGGATTTGCTAATTATAAACCTACTTCCATCACGTCTACGTATGACAGGGGGTAATTTGTTTTCACTTTGTCTAAGACTAAAGCCAACAATCTCTGGCCTCCAGTACGAACCCTGATTCTACTGGTAAGCAGGGTAAGTTGAATTGTGACCGTACCATTTTGAAGAAAGGGGTAGTGGGTGGTCTACAACAAGTAGTCATGGATATATGCATGTCCTTGGATAACAACGAGTTCTAGTGGTGAATTTAATAGCAAATAATAGTACGTGCTGATAATTTGCATATACAACCATGGAGAAGTATCGTGACAAGGAAGGGATTTCGTTTGCTGTAAAAATGGAATACTTATTTTACCTTAGAGAGCAATAATGAATAGTTTCATGTCAAATGCCAGATGTCATTCAGCAAATGATTGTGAAGGTTGAGTCCTCAACGAAGTGATATACTCCTTCATTAATCCCATGTGATTGTTTATGGGGTTTCAGCATACTGTAAATGTTATATGGGATAAAACAGTATGTCTGTCTAAGCTACAGATAAGCTGTGTATTTGCATAAAATACTCCGAAAAATAATCAAAACCCAATTACTTTCAATCATCTTGGGTGCAAAAACGCGTGCATTGAAGGAAAAACTCAAAAGTATAAAAAAAAGCACGCGTAAATACCCAATGAAGCTTTTTTAGCATGCGTACAACAGAGCTAATTTCCGAAACACAAATATGAGTTAATTTACTTTCTGAGTCAAGCCTATACATTTAGAACAGTTATATACAGTAAAGTCCCGTCAATCCGACATCGATGGTTGCATATGATTATGTCGGATTAACGAGTATGTCGGATAAACGAAATTAAGTAGTATCGACGTTGGTGATCTATAATCGGACAACTACTCGATAGATAAGGATTCAAACACGTAATAAAAAATATAAAATAAATATTCAGATTGTTATGTTACATTGTTGGCGGAATTTGTTTTCTTATCATGCAACCTCTAAAGTTTAACACAAAACAACTGTTACGGACTGTATGACTTATTCAAAATACTTTATAAAGCATAGTCTGGAATGGAAGTCGCAACTTTGAAACTGGTACCCAAAGCTTAAGAAAGCTGCTTTCTAAGTAGCTAACGTCGACTTCCTGTCAGTCATTTCATTGGTAGGTCATAGTTCGTGAAAGGTTGTTCTGACGTGACCTGTAATGGGATGTCTAAGTCGATAGCGAGAACTTGTATCTGATTTGAATAAGATTGAGGTAATCTAAGCATGTGACCAGCCGATTCGTCTCGCATCAAAACACGGGCTGTGTACTCACGGGCAGATGACCACGGAGTACGCTGATCACTGCGTCGGATTAACGAGACTGATTAATGAGTGATTTCGGGAATTTGTTGCAAATTGGGTGTGTCGGATTCGGAGTGTGAGACTGTCGGGTTAACAGGTTTAAATAACACTGATTTAATCGGTTCCCATCATTAGTGTTGGATAAAGCCGATTGTTGGATTAACGAGACTTGACTGTACATCTAAAACATTATTTTTTAAAATCTTAAAATGTTCGCTAATTTTGGGACAAACCCAATAGAGTGATGAATAGATGAGTGAAATAATATTGGTGACCCAATGAAAAATGTGATAACCCTATTAAAATAGAAACCCTAGAGTAAAAATTCAATTGCACAAAAAATGATCTGGAGCTCTGCTGTCTTGTAAAAATGGTAAAGTGAGTGAGTGAGTATGGTTTTACGCTGCTTTTAAACAATGGTCCAGCAATATCAGAGCGAGGAACCCCACATGTGGGCTTCACACATTGTACCCATGTCGGGAATCAAACCTGGGTCTTCAAAATAATGAGCGAAGGCTTGAACCACTGGGCTACCCCACTGGCCCTAAATATTGTAAAGTGTGGTAAGCTCAGCTTGAAATGATACATGTGGTAACACTAATTCATGCTGAAAAAATGTCTAGTGGACCAAAATATTTTGTTTTTTGTACCATGTTGACACCAAGTTCTGTCTTCTATCCAGGGAAGCATGGAACAAGCTTGGGGATATGCCAAGAGAAGAGGCCATGTTGAAATATGTGGACGCACTGAAAGTTGTGAGTAACTTTACTTAGTGTTCAGTAGTCTTGACAATCACCTTGCCTTTTGTTACAGAACTGCTTGGCCATGTTGATGGGTAGCATGGTTATCATGGTCTGTGTGCTTGCTTCAGTCTTTGTGTATTTGTTAGTTTGTTGTTTAAAGCCACACTCAGCAATATTATATATGTGTGACAGCTGTCTGTAAATCTGGAACAGACAATCCAGCAATAGACATCTTGAGCATTGATCCACGCTTTTGGGATACGATCACATGAATCAACCAAGTCAGCAAGCCTGACCACCCGATCCCATTAATCGCTTCTTACTACAAGCGGGGGCACGGGTGTGCAGGGTTGCGTCCCTTGGGTACGCCAGAAACCTATGATTGTGGGTTCGAAACCTGGTTCGGCCTGATTATGTTTCTAGGTTTGTCAGCACCATACCCATGCTTGTGGGTTTCACCGAAGTGGTAAACGTCTGAGACCTGCATCACTTCGGGCTTTCCTCCCACATTAAGCTGACGCGCCGTGATATAACTGGAATAATGTTAAAAGCGGCGTTAAACCCAACTCACTCACTCATACTACAAGCATAGTCACCTCTTATGGCTGGGTTGCTGAAGACCTATACTCCACCCGAATCACAGGTCCCTGCTTCAGTCAACAAGGCCAGGTATGGTTCTGTATGTTCATACAGTGTGAGATCATGGTGATGCTTGTACTTAGTTATAGCTAAAGTAAGTGTTGGATATGGTGGCAATAATATCAATGTGTTCAGTTGCTCCTTGTCCTGATTATGAAACAGCCAGACATGATAAATGTTTTTCAAATTTCTCATGGGTGGTCCCACTACAAGTTGATGCTTGGTATATTATGTTCACTTGTCATATATTATGGAATATTATGGAGACGAGTTACAAGTCAGGACCAGTAGAGATTACGATATGTGCCAGATACCATTTATCTTATAAGTAAAATCACCTTAGATCATCAAGACAATGCCTCAGACTAAGTGCTTGTTTGACCTTTGATCTTCAAGACAATGCCTTAGACTGTGTACTTGTTTCAGCTCAGGTCACTGAGTTTGGGTTGTATACTGAGAATGAAAACCAAGTGCACACTGATCCATTGCCCAGGCTAATAATAATGTTCATTTGAGTGGAATAACTCATTATGAGTGGACATTATTATTATTATTAGTAGTAGTAGTAGTAAGGTAGTAGTACTAGTAGTTGTTGTAGTAGTAGTAGTAGTAGTAGTACTAGTAGTTGTTGTAGTAGTAGTAGTAGTAGTAGTAGTAGTAGTAGTAGTAGTAGTAGTAGTAGTATATGCCTCAAGACTAGAATGATTTCAATCCTTGCTGAATGTGTGCTTGTCTCACCTTAGATCATTGAGACGATGCCCCAGACTCAGATGGTGGCCGACTTCATGGACACGCTGGGGAACTTCTACGAACTGGTGGATGACAAGTCTCCTATAGGCAGTGCCATCAACAGCAGCTCACTGAGGTCGTCACCGGAGCGGGAGGAGGGCAAAGCGTTGATGGTGACGGACAAGTCATCTCCAGACGGGGAGGATGTGGTCCCACAGGTCAATGGAGACATAAGTGGTGGGTGTGGCACGCAATACATTTCTTGATTGAAACAAATCCATTGCGGAAACCATAGCAAGTACTGTTTTTGTCATGTCATATGTTTTGTAGCCAAATGTGCAGCAAGCAGGTGTATGTAGTAAAATGGTCTTTCATTTTAGAAGTCAAAACCGCTGTAACTTTTGATAACTCGAGAAATCATAAATATCACCGAACTGCTATATCATGTATCTTTGCATATCGGAAATGACTTATAACTATTATATTTAAGTGTCTGTGTGTCACAAAATGATGTACAATCTTATATATCATGTATACATGTATATCAAGCATGTCAAGTCTGAAATATAGTGACAATTATATGGATGATAGGCTTATATAAGATAGCTATGCCATAAATTGCAAAGAACAATGACAAACGAAGCATGGTTTATTTTACGATCAAACATTGTTCTATGATGTCATCATTTCTGGAGATTCGAACATGCGCTCACAACTTGATGACATCGTGTATTGGAAGATGTTATTTTTTAGAGGGAATTGTCTAGTGAGTTGTTCCCCATAGATTTAGCTTGGTAACGCAGTTAAACGCAGTGGCCGAACGATCACATCCAAACGTGGGAGAGATGTAACAATCCGTATTGGGAGAAATCATACAAATAATAGACATTAGGATTGTTAGAATATGTGGAAAATAACAAAACCAGACCCATCTGTTAAAAAAATGGACTTGTCCGACATTTCCGAGGTTGGGTTCTATTCACGGATCCATCATTATTAAAATATATGTTAAAGAATTTAAAGCTTGTTAATTTTATCATCATCCTTAAAAAGGCTGTACATTAATATGTTGATATCTAATATAAGAAATAAATCATTTGTGGTCAATGTTTATCATACAATGAACCACTCAGGGTTTATACTCCCTGCAGTGTTTTATTGTACGATAAACAACTCCGCCCTGAGTAGTTTATTCTCTCTGCAGTGTTTTATTGTACGATAAACAGCTCCCACTCGTCATATATTTCTTAAGCATGTGATAAGACATGCCAGGCTATAAAAGCCAATTCTCTATGCTTTTAGCATATTGTGAAACACCTTTGTAAGTCTTTTGTTACATTGTATATGCAATGAATATTTTTAAAAATAAATTGAACAAATTTAAAAAAAATGATTCAGCATGGAAATTGGAATGAACATGATATATCAGAATTTTATGAAAAGAACAGGTTTGCAATCAAATGGTATATTTGTTCAATATGTTTTTAAAAGGTTTAAGATGCTCTTATGTGAAAAGAAAATACATCACACTCTTTTTTGCATGAATATGAAGTTCCTGACACTGATAACCAAGCTATTGTTTAATACTGACGTGCTAAAAGTTCTTTGTTTGTATGAAGTGTTGAACATCTGATGCAGATACGTCAGATACCAACCACTCAGCGCTTGTGGAGGAAGCGTTATCGCGGGCAGGCGTAGGCGTTGGAGAGCCCGCTGTGGAGGAAGCATTGTCACAGGCAGGCCCAGTTGGTGGAGAGTCCGTAGAGACCGATACCTGCCAGATCTATGTGAAATCACTTGACCAAAATGAAAATGTCAACAGCAGCAAGCAGGATGGTATGGCAAATTCCAAACTCTTTGTTTATGAAAAAAAAAACCAGTAGGAAAACAGTTATTTTCATATTTATCAACCTGTGATAATTTTTTGATGCAGTATTAACATGGCTCAAGGGAGAACTTTCAGATCTATTTGTGTTCTGTTTAGTGAATAAAGGGGGGTAACTGTGATGCAGAAATGAAACACATTTGTCTCCCTTTGGTCAGTTTTGCTCTGAATGTTTTCTCACTTTACATTACTCCAAACACTAAAAGTCAGGGTGACCCCTTGTTTATGTGGCTTTCAATTGGCCAATCTCCATAACTGTGTATCATTCACACAAATTTTGTTTGTTTGTTTGTTGTTTACGCCCCACTCAGCAATGTCTGTGTACTTAGCAGTATTCCAACTATATGACAGCGGTATGTAAATAATCGAGTCTGGACCAGACAATCCAGTAATTTAAATTATTAGCATTGATCCACATAAATGGGATATGATGACATGCGTCAACCAAGTCATCGGGCTTGACCACCCAATCCCATTATACGACAAGCATAGTCGCCTTTTACGGCAAGCATGGGTTGCTGAAGACATATTCCGACCAGGATCTTTACGGGTTATTCGCACAAGTAGAGCATTTCAGACCTGTTATAAAACATTTCATGCCCTTTTTCTTTATCAAAGAAATGAAAACTCAACTTGGGAAAGACATATAGAGTCTAGTATGTTTCACAGTAATTGTATTTATTTCATTCTGAAATAAGAGAAAATAGACAGTTGCCAGGAATTAGTGAAGCGCTCACTTATTGGTGAGAACAGTGCACAGGGTGTGCCAGGTCATGTAATGTGCATTCAGTGACTTTGTCCAACTACGCGAAAAGATGTGTATTGCAGTCGGAATAAGAAATCCACATTTTCAAGAGGCCACCTTGACTAATTAATACACAGTCACACAGTTAAGTTGCTTAGAATGAGTTGCTTTCACTGTACTATATGATGAGTCTGGGTTAGAATTGGTCTTCAGCAGTGTGAGCTTGTCGTGAGAGGCGACTAACGGGATCCGGTGGTCAGACTAGCTGACTTGTTTCATGCATGTCATCGATCCCAATTGCATGAAGATCTGGGTTAGAATTGGTCTTCAGCAACCCATGCTTGTCGTGAGAGGCGACTAACAGGCGGTGGTCAGACTAGCTGACTTGTTTGATTCATGTCATCGTATCCCAATTGCCTACTTCAATGCTCATGATATCAATCACTCGATTGTGATCATAGTAGGCCTGGTACATTTATTGCTTAACAAATGTTAATTGGTTGCAGCGTTAACACAACAAGGAAAAATTAAGGTTAGATGAGCACAATGTTATGTTCACAGGCGAGGACGACGAGCAGCCACTGACCAACGGCATGGGGGGAGAGGGACAGAGAGTGACCAATCATGTGAACAGCGAGACTGAGAGTGACAGTGAGGAGTTTTGTGACACATCAGACGAACCTGTTCTGGTAACAAAGCTTCTGTATATTTTTTTTTTCTGTTAACAACTCCTGTATACTTAGTTGTTATTGTAACCATGGTAACACAACCTCTGTATATTCAACTGTTCAGGTAACTATGGTAACACAACCCATGTATATTCAATTTTTCTGGTAACCATGGTAACACAACCTCTGTATATTCAACTGTTCAGGTAACCATTGTAACACAACCCCTGTATATTCAACTGTTCAGGTAACCATTGTAACACAACCCCTGTATATTCAACTGTTCAGGTAACCATTGTAACACAACCCCTGTATATTCAACTGTTCAGGTGACAGTGGTAGCAAAATTCAGCACATACAGCCATGAATACAGTGACACGAGGTGACGTGTCAAGTAGCTTTTACAATTAATAAGACTTCATTGATGTTGTCACTAAAACATAGGAAACATAAATACTTGACAACACGCTTTGCATTACACAGTGTGACACTTCATGTTGCACATTTTGCATGACATCAATACTGTTATGTACTGTTACCCTCTTAGTTTTAGAGGTATGTATGCAATCATTGTCAAAATATATATGTGAATGGAACTTTACAAATGTAAAACTTTGAAATCCAGGTGCCTTTTGTCTGTTTAAAGTTGATTTGTGTGAGTTATCAATGAAGAGCTACTCTAAGTACATTCGTCAGTAGATTCGTCAGTAGACCCAGGAAGATTCGGGGTGGATTAGGTCTTCATCAACCCATGCTTGCCGTAAAAGGCGACTATGCTTGTTGTAAGAGGCGACTAACGGGGTCGGGTGGTCAGGCTTGCGGACTTGGTTGATGCATGTCATCGTATCCCAATTTCATGGGTCGATGCTCATGAAGTCAATCACTGGCTTGTCTGGTCCATACTCGATTATTTATGGACTGCCGTCATATAGATGAAATATTGCTGAGTGCGGCGTTTAACAACAAACCAACAGTTATATAATCCCTATCTGCTTAATTCATGCTGTTTATCATTTATAAAGGTGAATGTTCCTCGAAGGGAAACTCGTCTCAGTGCTTCTACCCCTCTCAACAAGGCCGGGAACCATGTGCGCTTCAGTGAGACCAACATTGTCCACACTGAGGTGGAGGTACACTCGGGCCGAGTGTCACCCATAGAACCTGATTCAGGACCGGCAGGACTGGAGGCAGCCACAATGCCGGGAACATATTCCTATGGCCAGCAGCGTCAGCACCTCTCTGAGAGTATGTTTGTGAATGCCCCATCTCAGGACTCTATGAACATCTCGGCCACAAGCCAGATGAGTCTCGGTCGAGGTAGACTCGAGCAAGATTTCAGTGAAGATAGTGTAATATCATCTGACCTCAATCAGTCCAGCAGCGAGACAGCACAGATGAGAGGAGGTGGAGATACACAGCAGGGACGACAGGGGGGCTACCAGCCTTTGGACAGGGGACAGGCCGGGACCGCAGCTGGCAGCAGAGGTAGGGGATGTAGGGTAGTGTACTCATGTGTCTAGGGGTAGTAGGAGGGCTACCTGCTGTTGGTAGGGGCGGTCGGGTAGCCTAGTGGTTAAAGCGTTCGCTCGTCACGGGTACAATGTGTTAAGCCCATTTCTCGTGTCCCCCGCCGTGATATTGCTGGAATATTGCTAAAAGCGGCGTAAAACCATACTCACTCACTCACTCACCTGCCGTTGGACAGGGGACAGGCCGGGACCACAGGTGGCAGGCCGGGACCACAGGTGGCAGAAGAGGTAGGGGATCTAGGGTAGTGTAGTCATGTGTCTAGTGGTAGTAGGAGGGCTACCTGCCATTGGACAGGGACAGGCTGGGACCGCAGGTGGCAGCAGAGGTATGTGATTTGGGGTAGTGTACAAATGTGTCCTGGGGTAGTAGGAGGGCTACCAGCCTTTGGACAGGGGACAAGCCAGGGCCATTGTGGCTGCAGAGGTCGGGGCTATTTTGAAAGTGCATGTATGTGGGGGTTGTAAAATGGGGGTCACCAGGCTTTAGACAGGGGTCAGGCTTGGGCCACTCTGCTTTGGGAAACTGATAGTATTTTCATTGCACAACTTGAAATTATTCAGATAAAAGGAGGGTTTTTCTTAAAGGTGTCAAGTGTGAAAAACACCATTTGCAGTAATTATGCATGACTTGACTTAACATAGTTATTAGGAGTTTGTATACATTAAGCGATACCGAAAGTGTGATTGTAAACAATTGATTACACTTGATGTGTGGATGTGTCTCTGAACACAGTTTCAACATGTGTCTCCAGAAGGTGTAGAAAGCAGACATAAAATCATTCTTTCTACAGAGTGAGCCAAGACATCAGTGCTTCAACTTTAACTTTTTTGTGTTGCAGGTTCGAACTCAGGGTCAGGAAGTGGAAGTCGACGGGGGTTGTTTTCTGGATCAGGCGGGGGTGGTCGTCGAGGTGATAGCGACCCCAAGAACCCGGGGGATGTAAATGAACACATTGCCATCGCCATGGTGAGGCTGCAGCAAGACATGAGTGGTGTGTTGTCTCGACTCAGCTCACTGGAGACACTGTCCAGGCACAAGGCTGAGGTAGGTTGTGAAACATGGTGGCTCTCTTCACAGACACTGCTTTTGATTGCAGCAATAGAAATTGGCACAAGTCCTACTGTCCTTCCCAAACTGCCCATGTTAAAAGGTCTCATAAGTTGCCATTTTGGGATTTTGCTGTGCGTTATCTTTGTATGGACTAAAAATGTTAGCTTCTATTGCTGGATTGGTCAGAATGCTTGACCACAGTCCAAGAGTTTGTTCTGGAAGATAATGAGACTTTCATTTCATGCTTGATCCATGCCCTCTTTGCCATGGTGAACCGAGATTAGGTTGATTAGATCAGACATATCCATTTCTTGATTTACATATTTCTTTCTGAGCCTTTTTGATCGGTAGGTGGGAAAAGAAATATAGAAATTGCAGATTTTTCTTCTGCAAACAGATATCAGAACATGTTGCTATATTTGTTGTTTTGACTAAATTGATCCCATTGTTGCAGATTTACATGTTGATTGATCAATGTATTTTAAAATGAAGATTAATGAAATGAATTTTTTTACCTTTTTAAGGGTTTGGGGTCCATAAACAAATCCAAAGAAAAAGTATCCCCTTATGGTGTAAAACGCTGTTTAGTCTTTCAGTAATGTGTGTAGCATAACAACAGTTTGGAGGTTGGAACACATGCAAGATTAGAGTAGTTGTTCAGCTAGTATGATAGTAGTTGCAGGGATAGACATGGAGCGTTGTCTATGAGTGCCACATGGCACACTCATCAATATTTAGGTTCGTCGGGGGGGTTACGTGTGCCAACAAGAAGGATATTTTTCAATGCAGAAAAAATTTAAGTTGTTTGAAATTCTGTTTATTAAGCTTGTTTTACATGTTTGTCCAATATACTCGTAGTATGAAAGTTCATTTATCACTGGTTTCACATGATAGAACTTGTTACAGTGTATTCTAATTATAAATGTGATTCCTAAGTGTACCTTCAGACACCAGGATCTTATTTCAGCATTGCCATTGGCACTTAAGTACGAGTAATGTCAAACCCTGAGTTGTGTGTCAAACCCTGAGTTGTGTGTGGTTTCTTGTGGATTTTCTTTTACTGTAAGTTCATGTTCCATGCACAATGGCTATATTTCTGAGAATGATGATGACAGGTAATTTTGTGTTCATTTCAGGAAGAGGTACAGAGGAGAAGGTCGGCCAGGGTGAGTCTTAACTAGGAACATTTGAGATAGGATGACAACCGTCACCATGTTACCAACTCTATGGTCTAGTGGTAGAGAGTCTGCCCAGTGAGTGGAAGGTTGGTGGTTCGAACCTTGACCACGTCATACCAAAAGACGTTGAAAGATAAAACTTGTTTTTACCCTCCTTGGCGCTCGGGATTAAGGGGATAAAATAAGGACTGGTTGGCTCGGAGTCAATATACTGTGTCTGAGTTTGGTATTCATATCAAACTGTGGCATGGTCTCTCAGTTGGCAACAAAACCTGCATGATTCCAGACCAGGGCACTTAATGCGATGAATAAAGTTATAATTTCTAGATGGTGTGGGGTCCTGTGATGTTTCTACATGCATACATGCTAAATGGACTTTTATTTCAGAGACCCAGCTGGTGGCCATTCCCCGATCTGTCTGTGAAAAGTACTGCTTTCATCGTTCTATGGCCCTTCATTGCTCACTTTCTTATCAACGTGCTCTTCAAGAGGAAAAGGTAGATTTCAAGTCTGGTCTCCATTTGTGAAATATTTGCACTTTTGGGTATCGATTTTACAGTTGTTGATGTTGTGGATGATGTAGACACAGATATTGTTGTAGATGATGTAGGTGTAGACTTTTGCAGTTGTACATGATGTATTTGGAGACGGTGCAGTTTTAAGTGGTGTGTCAGTCATGATAGATGCCATAATTCCTGCTGAAGGGCCATGTACATGGTTTGATAACACCAATGTGTCAATGGAGAGTAACATAACCAAATATTTCCCAGATTGCGTTTGATCAAGCACCAGAATATTTCTTGCCAAATCAGTTGATTCTCTGAACAGATTATCTGATAGACAACTTAAAAGTTTAGTGCATGACCTCTATAAGAGCAAGCACATTTAGATTGTCATGTTGAACATGCTACAGTCCATGAGTTTGCATGGATATCTACATTTAGATTGTCATGTTGAACATGCTACAGTCCATGAGTTTCCTTAGATATCTACATTTAGACATACCAGTGACTTGGTTCTGATATAATGTCTTCCTATTTCAGGAGATCCCTGCAGTGAGGACAAGTCTTGGCTGTGGAGGACCAGCGTGAATGATAGCAACTGTATGAGATTTGTGTACATTGACAATGTTTTATATACAACTTTCAAGTTTTAGGAGACAACATTGAAAAACGATTCAGACGTAAGGTTTGGGTGTTTAGTATGTATTGTGAATGTCAAGTGATGTAATATTTTGAGTTTACTTGAAATGACTTTGAGTGATCATCTATCACAGCATTTCCGACCATTTGTAAAATTCCCTATTTTATGAGACAAAATGCATTCAGATTTAGATTTTGTCACAGATACATTCCAAGTAGTTTCTACATTGACAACCAAAGCAAAATAGTTTTGATTCTCAGACATCCATATATATATATATACTCTGTGTGTGTGTGTGTATGTATATATATATATATATATATATATATATATATATATATATATATACTAAAAATATACTACTCAAAAGAATGTAAAGAACACAGACATGACAGATTAACAATAGTAATTTAAAGGAATCGGGTGTTCTTTAACCTCTATTGTGTAGTATATCATGGTGATGAAATCATTTTGTTTCACAGTGGGATAGCCTTGTGGTTGAAGGTTTTCTTGTCACGCCCAAAACCCAGGTTCAATTGTCCTCATAGGCATAACATGTGAAGCCTATTTCTGGTGTCCCTTCACCAGCATTAGAAACAAACAGTTTTCGTCCACTAGTCCATATAATTATAACATATACCAAGACCCTTAAAAAGGGCAAATTTCTACTAGTCCTTATGATACCTTACCTATTGGGCAGTTTGGCAAGGACTATAGGACTAGTGCCAATTTCTACCACTGTTCACAGTGATACTGCAGGAATATTCCTATAAACAGTGTCAAACTATATGCAAGCACCATTTCGTATTTAATACTAAACACAAGAGGCTATCCAAAAGTCATAGCTTTTGAATTAACTGTTCTTTGAAACCAGATTTGATATATTTTCAGTTTTGGTTGTAAAGGCTTTATCATTGTAGATGTGCTAATGAGTGTTATGTGCAAATATTATTTGAGGTAAGTGGAATGAATATCTTGCCCTCAGTGCTACAAACAGTGTGTATGTTCAATGGTAAAGATACATGTGTTCAATAATCAGCTGTGATATTACTAGTAGGCTTTACAGTCCATGTACATTTGTACATTAACATGTTTGTTTCCATTGCAAGAATGTACCATTGATTTGTTTTTTTATAAAACGTATGCATAATAAAATATTTTTAGAGATGCTTAGAAGTGCAATCGGGGAAGTGATAAGCTCTGATTTGGACAGGCATGTGGCATTGAAATAAGAGCCTGCGAAAATGTTTGTGTTGACAATGTGCATCATTTTGATGAAATGTTTGCTGTGATTTGATAAGGTGACAGTGTTTTGAAGTAAGCTGTTCTTTGATTGGATTGGATGTGATGTGAAAATTATGTAAGACTTGTACTAGTATGGGCAATTCAGAATCTTTGGAATAATGAACCACTACGAACGACTTTAGCATTTTAGAAAATAATAGCTATCATATCATAACCAGATTTCCAGCTAAAAATTTATTATATATATTTATTAAAAGTTAGAATCTATTGACAATTATAGTACATTTCTGTGCTGTCTATCATGTGTTTTCATGGGATTACCTTTACCATTCAATGAAATATTGTTGGGAGTCATAATGAGAAGAAGTAATTAGCAGTATTAGTGAACGAATGACACCTATTTGTGCAATCGTTTGTGTATGGACATGAGAGAGTGGCATATAGTTCTCAGGGTTGACAGGGATATGCAGTCATCTGTTGATGGAAGTATGTGAGGTGTGTTTTGACTGACAAGCAAACCTGAGATTAAGTCGGTCGTAAGAGGATTAAGGTGAAGAATTATTCATCATGTTTCATAGAGGCCCTCTGTCATGCCAGGATCACTAGTCATGGGTGTTGAAATCTTGTATCAGTTAACATGTCAGCACCATGCACCTGCTTGTGGGTTCCACGAACTTGTCTGACTTTTGTCCACATAAAGCTGATACTTGTGTAGAGGAGGAGCCAGGATTTTGAAAATATATACCCAAGTCACGAGGTGGCTTGGACGAGGGTGCAGTCAACATGTAAGGGGCTGGAAAAGGGGGATGCAGACCCCTGCAGCCCTCCTCTGGGTCCACCTGTGTGTTGGAAGCAGCATTAAACTTTTACCTCACTCACTGATTCTGTTTCATCCTCATAACTTCTGTCAAGGTTCGTGTGAATGAGTTTCTCAAGTATGTAAATGTTTCCATGACTCTTACATCTTGTGAATTATCTAATTCTGGTCTTGATATAAGAGTGTGTTTGTTTGAAAGTTGTTCTTCCATGACAATTGCATGTGTGTTGAGAAACTGTCGAGAAATTGTGAATGTATTACAATCTTTCTATAGATTGACCTAGATTTTCTCACTGTATACCTGTGTGTGTCAACAATCATATTGATGTACATACTTAAGTTGACAATGTGTCTGTTGTACAGGAATATAATTATAAATAATTGAAAAATAAATTTCCATGCCACAAGTGACAAAGTGTTTTTCTTCATTTATTATCCGAAACCATTCCAAATGTCAAGTCATATGATGTCATATGACCAAGTATGTACAACTACTACACTTCTTGCTTGAACCCAAAGTTCAATACAAAAGAATGTTTTTTGGGCTGGTTTAACATTAACAACTTATACCTCATCAATAAGCTGATGGAGTAAAGGTCAAACGTTTCATTATTGGTATATGTCCCTTGCAGGACATGCTTAACCTATTGCAAAGTGGTGACTGGTTATTCTTTGACTGTGATGTTTTATATTTACATCACCATAGGATGGGGTTTCAAATCATGGGCGGATACAGAGGGTGCGCACCCCCCTTTTTATTTCGAAAAAAAATCTTTATTTCTGTATAAATTAACACCAAAGACAATAAATAGATATTAATTGTGCACCCCCTCCCGCTTTTCAAAAAAGCTGTATCCGCCCATGCAAATCATATGGATGTTTGATCTGCCTGGGTGAAACGCTGTATGAGGTAATGATGGCGTCCTACCCCAGCATGACTACCACTGTCACAGTGCCTGCAATTATTTGTGCAAGGTTGAACCCCCTTGGACCCCATAGCAAGCTAGGTTCGTGGGTTCGAATCCCTGATACTGTTTCTATGTTTGTCAGTACCATACCAGTGCCGGTGTTTTTCTCTACCATGGAAAGCAGTATAAGACCTGCCTGTAACTCATTCATGAGTGTCACCTCTGTTTAGGGGACACGGAATCGACCAGACGTCTGAGGTGCCAAAATCCGTTGTGCAGAGTTGCCTCCCTTGGGCATGCCAGAAATCCGGGTTCGCTGGATTATGTTTCTAGGTCAGCATCATACTCTGCTCGTACTCGTGGGTTTCACCAAAGAGGTAAATGTCGAAGACCTGCATGGCTTGGGCTTTCCTCCCACATTAAACTGACACAGCATGATATAAATGGAATACTGTTCAAATCCGACGTCTGGCCCTTGGTCACACCAGAAACCTCTGGTTGTGGGTTCGAATTCCGGTTCGCCCGGATTATGTTTCTAGGTTTGTTAGCACCATACCAGTGCTGGAGGGTTTCAGCGAAGTGGTAAACGTCTGAGACATGCATCACTTCGGGCTTTCCCCCCACATTAAGCTGACACGCCGTGATACTACAGGATTACTGTTAAAAGCGGCGTTAAACACAACTCACTCACTCACTCACTCAAATCAGCGTTAAACCCGACTCAGGAACTCATTCACTCACTTGTGTTGAAGATGGTGGAATGTCGAGACTTACTTATATGTTTTGGAATAGTGTTATGTACCTTCACATTATTCGCCGACTTCAGTTCAGATTGGGACAATGTATTTTAATGTCCATGACTAAATAAGTCAGTGAGTGTGCTTTAACACCATCTTAAACACTCTTCCGGCAGTATAACAAAGAAGACACCTTCAAAGGCTTCCTGTGGCGAACCAGTACCATGTGTCAACTAATTAATCACCACGCGTCATCACCGCCCCACAAGGTAGCTACTAAAGAATAGTCGAAAGGAACATGGATGATCCGATCTCTACACATATTCCTTCATACATTTGTTATCATCGCAGGGGCCACCGGTGGCCCAGTCGCCTAAGGCGCCGCAATTCGCACTGCAGAGTTGCGTCCCTTGGGCACGCCAGAAACCTATGATTGTGGGTTCGAATCCCGGTTCGCCCCGATTATGTTTCTAGGTTTGTTAGCACCATACCAGTGCTCGAGGGTTTCACCGAAGTGGTAAACGTCTGAGACCTGCATCTCTTCAGGCTTTCCCCCCGCACTAAGCTGACACGCCGTGATATTACAGGATTACTGTTAAAAGCGGCGTTAAACACAACTCACTCACTCACTGTTATCATTGCTTGACTGTTGATTATAACCCATGAAAACCACAATCAAACCATAGTACAGTTTGAGTGAATATGACCTGAACGCCGCAGTTTCAACATGGACACCTCATTTAGACACAGTGTACTGACTCCGAGCCGACCAGTCCTTGTTTTAGCCCCTTAATGCCGAGCGCCAGTCAGGGTGACCGTCTTTTTACGTCTTTGGGTATGACCCGGCCGGGATCGGGCACACGCTGAATCCACTAGGATAAGGTCTTGTCGGCTCGGAGTCAGTATACTGTGGTATACTGGGGTATTCAGGTTAAACTGTGAAGTGGTTGTAGTGCAATAATCTGGAACCTCATTTCATGTCACCTCATCTCGCAATAAAGAGATTGTTAACCAATTTTTGTTGTTTTAACGCTGCACTCAGCAATATTCCAACTATATGACGGCGGTTTGTAAATAATCGAGTCTGGACCAGACAGTCCAGTTATTGACATCATGAGCATTGATCTACGCAATTGGGATAAGATGACATGCATCAACCAAGTCAGCGAGCCTGACCACCTGATCCCATTAGTCGACTCTTACGACAAGCATAGTCGCCTTTTACAGCAAACATGGATTGCTGAAGACCAATTCTAACACGGATCTTCACGGGTCTTGGGGAAATGGTATTGTAATGCATTGTCAGTATATTGAGGCAATACAAAAGCAGGTAGAATACAATACCCGGAGAAGTTATCATTACAAACTATGCGTCCTATTGTTAAAAACTATCAGTTTAAGCTATTTCGCAGTGCTTTGTAGCAACTTAATAGGAGCTACATTGACTGTTTTGTCGTTGTTTGGTCATTGTTGATTTATTGAAATATTTTACGTTTAAGGAACTGTGTAAGTTTTACAATTCACCCCTTTTTCACATTCACTGTGTTCGATGTGTGTTCAGATAAGCAGGTCCTTGTTTTTTTATGACTTTTATTTGTTAGCACCGACTGGCGTTGTTGATGAGGGCACGTGCATATTGCAGGTGATGGTCACGCCCACTGCATCACATTGTGGTCATACCCGCGTCACACTGCATCACATTGTGGTCATACCCGCGTTACACTTAATCACACTGTGGTCACCTGTGCTGTAGGTCATGTGACAGCTATCTTGATACGGGGCTTTTGCGACCCCCGTCATATCACCATGTTGAGGTGTTTACACGGATAACATCACGCCTCACACGGCGTCGACTGCTACCATGACATGGCAATGTTACATGCACACGATTAAGGTTATCTCCTGGGCCCACAAAGCAGTCAGCGCTAAGATGATCGTAACTCCCATACTTTAACATAGGCTTACCCTAGTCATAGTGCTAAGATCGCTTTGTGCAAGTGGGCCCTGCAAGGTGCAAAAACGTTGAGTGAGCGAGTACAATTTAACGCCGCTTTGAATAGTGTCACGGCGTCTCAGCTTGATGTGGGAGAAAAGACTGAAGTGATGAACGTATGCCACTTTGGTGAAACCCAGGAGCACGGGTATGGTACTGAGAGACCTAGAAACACAATCATGGCGAATCTGGATCGAACAACTACCACACGTGAAGATCCGGGGAGGAATAGGTCTTCGGCAACCCATGCTTGCCATAAAAGGGGATCGGGTGGTCAGGCTCTCTGACCTGATTGCTACATGTCATCGTGTCCAAATTGCGTGGATCAATGCTCATGATGTCAATCACTGGCTTGTCTGGTCCAGACTCGATTATTTACCCGACGCCCCTATCACCAAGGGGAACGTAATTTGTGGCCAAGAGGGTGTACATGTATCATGCTTTAAATCTCGGCAGGATTACACGCTCGACTTAACCATATTCTGTGAAGACAGCGTTTTAAAGACCTGAGTAAAGATAATGATAGACTAACGCTTAATCTCTGCAAATATATTATTTTCATACAAACAACTGACTCTATGTAGATCTTAATAAAAAAGGAAAACTGAGGAAATCTAACTTTTTCCTTTAGACCTGTTACATTACATAAAAGGCCGGGCGGAAGGGAAAATAATTTGGTTCCGGGAGTGTGAGACAGACTAAGACAATGTAAACATGGATGAGGATGCATATTTCTTAAATTATTTGGAGGCGATGGGGATGCTTATTGGTTACAAGGGTTCGGGTCACCTGTGTGAAACCAGTTTCTGGTGTCCCCTGCCTTGAATATTTAAGACTGAATGACTTTATTTTCTGTAAGCGCCGTTAAACTCTAATCAAGTTTTATTTATTCGTCGTATTATTATAAGTACTTAGAACACTCAGATTTACATTCCATATTCAAACATTCGAGATTTCTGACACACCATAGAAGTGTAAACACACCAAAGCGCCGAGTCACAAGATAATCTGTGATAATCGGCGATGGTCAGAATTGATGCCACCTAGGGCAGGGTCCACATTTACATACAATCACTGTCGACTCGTAATGAACGCTTGTTATACGATCTATGTTTGGCTTGCTATCACAATGTTGAGATCAGTTTGTGCTTGTGACATGGCTTTGTCTGAGGAGTACGTGACATGTCACTATTTTGATAACACACGTCACGCGGTCATAGCAGCAGTCAAAAACACGAGATCATAGCGGTGATCGCAAAGCCCCGCCCACTCTCCAAAAAAAGGAATCTATACTGTAGACGCTGCCTAACTTTTTTCTGTTTATGGAAACACAAATGTAAAACGAATTGCTTGGATAGCCAATAAATGCCTTGGGGTCACGTACAATTTATGTATCATGCAATAAACATGCATATGCTATTATATTTTAATTAAAACTCCCTTTGTAACCACCTTGTCGTTTTAGCCGTTCCCTGTCGTAGGCATACATTTTGTCAGTAATATCAGATTTTAAATCTGATGATTGAGAATTATATAAATATCTATTGTTCTAATGCCGGGGAGGGGGGGGGGGGGGGGGGGGGGGGGAATTTAATGATACATTATTTAATGAAGGTTTAATGACACGTTAATGCATCATTATAGTTTGATACAACCAGTCAAGGTTAGGACTGAATGTGGCTGAGTGCTGAGAGATGTTGACACAGGATAGTATTCTACGTTGCCAAGAAGCTTCATAAA